ATAATAGTAATGATAATAATAATAATAATACTCTTCTCCGTCACCTTCACCTCCACCTTCACCTATCCTGTAGACTGGATGTCCGTCGGGGCACTTTTGAAGATTTGGCCACCAGCTTCCTCCACTCATTCCGATCTTCAGCTTTTCTGAGCGTGTCTTTGAGTTCGAGGCGTGTCCATTCCTTGATCCTGTCCTCCCAACTCTTCTTCGGTCTGCCTCTGCTACTTTTTCCGTGGACGCTGCCTTGCAGGATCATCTTGCAAGGCCGTATGAACGGGTGATGGGTCCATACCAATGCAGTTTGTGTTTCTTGACCAGAGTGAGAAGGTCAGCATATGGTCCAATTTACTTTTTTGATCAGTTGTTTGACTTCATCATTTCTGATGTGATCTTTGTTTGAGATACCAAGGATTTTTCGGAAGCATCTCATTTCAACAGCTTTGATCCTTCTTTCAAGGTCTGCATTCAAGGTCCAGGATTCACATGCATACAACACTAATGACATGACCAGAGAACGAATCAATCTGATATTTGATCTGAAAGGTGATATTTCTGTCGTTCCAGATGGTTTTCAACTTGGTCATTGCTGCTGAAATTTGCGCTACTCTGGAGATTATTTCTGGAGTTGATCCTTCGTCTGTCATTATTGCAACCAGGTATTTGAAGCTGCGTACAGTCTCAAGTCTCTGATTGTTGACCTGGATGTCCACTGTGATGTTCTTGTTGCTGTTAGACATCAGTTTGGTCTTCCCAGTGCTGATTTCCATGCTGTGGAGGTCTTTTCAAGACGGTCTATTAAGCTGACTAATTTTTGCTCTTGTCCCGCAAGGCCTTCTGTGTCGTCTGTAAAACGTAAGTTATTAATCGTTCTGCCCCCAAAGCTGACTGTTCCTTCGTGATCTTCGAGAGCATCTGTCATAATTCTCTCAAAGAAAATGTTGAAAAGAGTGGGTGAGAGCAAGCAACCCCTGGCGTTCTCCCACAGTTGTTCGGAACCATTCCCCAATATTGTTGTTGATAAAACTGCTCTCCAAGCTTTGTCGTATAGCTTTTCTATGGCTTTGATCAAGTTGGAGTTGATGTTGTATAAGTCCATGGGTGCCCGCAAAGCCTCCTTCCACACACTTTCAAAAGCCTTTTTAAAGTCCACTAATACGTGGTGAGCTCCTGTTGGTATTGGAGGTACTCTTCCATGATGATTCTCAGGTTGAATATTTGTTCTGTCATGCTGCACCCCGTCCTGAAGCATGCCTCTTCTTCTGCTATGATTTTCTCTGCTTGCGGCTTCAGTCTGTTGAGAATGACTTTAATCATTACTTTACTAGGATCGCTAATCAGGCTAATAGTATAGTACAATAGTTTTGGCATTGTTGAAAATTGCCTTATTTGGGAAGGGTGATAATCAATGACTGTCTCCCCGATAGAGGTGGGCGAAATCCGGATAAATATCAGGACAATCGGATAATCCTCAATAAGTACATTATCCGAATTCAGACTCTTAACTCTCTTTCCTGACCCGCTTGCCGAAGTCAGTGCACCCATTTGTTGAAGTGATGCTAACCCGTTTGTCAAAGTTATTCTAACCCGTTTGCAGAAGCGGTTCATATCATATTATTTGTCGAAGAGGTGCACTAACATATTATCCGGATTTTGCTAAAGCGACTCATTGCCCAGCTCTACTGTCCGATCTCATTGCAGATTATCCAGAGCATGTCTATCACCGAGTCTCCACCTGCTTGAACTATTTCTGCTGTGATGTTTTCTATTCCAGCTGATTTCCCTGTCTTCAGTGATGAGAAAGCTGCCACTATCTCTTCTATTAAGATACTGCTTTTGTCATTGTCTTGTGATTGGGAGACATTGGGCACTCTTTGATCTCCTGTGGTTTTGTGTGTGTACAGTTCAGAGCAATATTCTGTCAACCGGTTCTGAACTCTTGTTCCCCCGTTAAACATTTCCCTTCTTTACTTTGTATTGATGTGGTCCGCCCTTGTTTGGTACTTGGGAGATCTTTGATTTGATGATTTGGTAAGCTTTTTTACGGTTGTTTTAATTCAGGCTGTCTTCTATTTCTTCCCACTGTTCTTCACCCACTTCTCCCTAGTTTCTCTCATTCCTTTTTTCACTTGCAGATTCGTGTCCCTGTACTCTTTTGCACCTTCGGGTTCCTTTTTCTTGTTCTTCAGAGCTCTTCGTTTGTCACATAGGTCAAGGATGTCGCCTGTGACACAAGGTTTCTTTTTCACACGATGTTTCCCAAGGAGCTCGTTTGCTGTTTCTGTCTGGGCGGTGCTGAAAGTCTTTGTCATGGAGTCAACTTCTGTATCATCTTGATTCTTTCTCGTTCACCAGACATTCACAATGGCTGATCTGTTGCACTTACTTAATGAGAGACATATATTTCTGTGACTGAATTTGAAGGTGAAACAAAAATCAACTTAAGATGGTTTTATAAAAATTCAAAGGAACTTCTGGTGCCGCAGAAGAAAGGCATTACTTTGAACACGGACGAATTAAACCGACTGGTAACTGAGCCTCAGCAGGGAATTCAGACCATAATGTGTCCTCTGCTACACTACCTAAGAAGAAGAAGAAGAAGAAGAAGAAGAGATTCCCCTACTACTACAAGAAACAAGAAGAAAGTTCTAGAAACTGTTAGTTGTGTGAAAAGAGTTGGCTTGGTGTGAGAAGTGTATTTAATTTTTTAATCTTTAATTTGTTTTAATTTTGCAAACATTGTGTCACTTTTTTTGACAGAGTTGAACTTAATTTCTGTTCACATTTAAAACTAAAACAGTTGTATCTATACGCCTTGATGCTTATAAATTACAATAATTCTATGTATGATGCGCGTGCGCGCGTGTATGTGTATCTGTGTGTGTGTGTGTGTGTTTGTGTTTGTGTGTGTATGTGTGTGTGTGTGTGTGTGTGTGTGTGTGTGTGTGTGTGTGTGTGAAATGAAATACCCGTCTCGATGTGAGAAATAAAGATAGAAACATTTTTTTCAAAAACCCAAAAACCTGTCCAACCATCCATCCATCCATCCATCCATCCATCCATCCATATCTTGGTGTCACATTAAAATCTGGGTAGAAGTATTCCACATGCTGTCTTTTTTTCAGTCACCTGTTTTGTTGTCAGAATTGTGGGTTTGTTTGTTTTTCCATGCACATTTAAAGTACATCCATATCTTGATGTCAAATAAAATCTGATAGATGTATGTCGTACATTTCAATATAATGGTCTGCACGTGTGCACGAAAATAAAGATAAAAAATGAATACTAAAGCAGTGCGTTTTTGTAGTTTCTTTGGTTATTTTCGCTGTCTTAGATATAGTGTAGTGATAATTGTTGTTGTTGTTGTTGTTGTTGTTGTTGTTGTTGTTGTTGTTGTTGTTGTTGTTGTTGTTGTTATAGTATTGGGTTGATTTTGTCTGTTTTTTGTGAAAGTGTGTTTTTTGTGGATTTTTATTTTGTTGTTCTTCAAATTCTGTGGCAGAGGTCAGACACTACGCCACCTCCTCGCTTCTCAACACGAAACAGCAATACCCATGCAACGAGAAAAAAAGCGGACATTAACAGAACACAATAGAAAAAACAAAACAAAACTAAAAAATAAACAACCCAGGTATATTGTTTTTTAAACAATTTATTTTTTTATTTCATATTCTGTTAGAATACGAACGCTCCGTCCTGTCTTAACATTGATACAGCATACAATTCCTTGGGTAGTTTTTCCCTTTAAAATCTTATTGGTGACAGTCATGATATGTCTCTCTTGTTCTAGATTTTTTTTTCGCAAAATCTGATTTTAGGACTGTTTCCAAACAACAAGATAAGAAAGATTCAGCCATTTTTTTTCTAGTCCACATCCAAGCACCAGAAGCCCGATTGTCGAGGAGTTTTTTTTTTGGGGGGGGTGGTATTTTACAGCAAGGGGCATGTTGAAAACCGCCACAATGTCTCTCCTGTATAGACGAACTGATATTGAGTGATTAAAAAAAAAACCACGTTTTCCCTTGGATCCTTATCATGTCCTGGAACTACCGGTAAGGCGAATATTTCACTTGCCGGTAGAAAAACGCACGCTATCTCTTCACTCCGGCACAGAATTTCTAATACGTCCACTTTTATATTACGTGGATTTTTCTTACACAATAAAAGTAGGGAGAACTACAATTTTTTCTTGATTTGTCTGACCAAAAAAATAAAATTACATGTATTCACAATCACACAAAAAAAAATCTTTAAATTAATTCTTAAAAATTAAAGTTTATTTTCTTATTTCATATTCTGCTACAC